AAAAATTAAAAATAAAATGCTGCTCTGCTTAAGAACCCTTTGATCCAGCTGGAACTGTCACAATTCAGCTCTGAAAGCTGACAGAAATACAAAGCTTACGAGGGGGAGAAAGTTGCAGCTGTTTGTCAGTCAGCCCTCCAGCTTTTAAAGAAAGCCTTAGACCCAGAAGCTACAGCTTACATAGAGCATTCCTTAAACCTGCTCTAGCTAGACTGAAAATATTTATAGCTTCACTCCAGCTCAACTGGAAAACTAACAATGTAGCACAAAAGTTCTGCAATGTTTAATTAATTGGTTAGTTCTTCTTGCCTGTTGCACTGACATTGAGGCTGGTAGAGTATGTAAATTCCTTGTTAAGAGGAGGTGGCCTGAACGCTTAGTTACAGTACGTAGAGTAGCCCTCCTTAATACATACCTCCATATTCGGAAGAGTTGAGAGCCACCAGCGCAGCCAACAAAGAAGTTCACAGCAAACAGACTCCAATTTTTCGGAATAATAACTAGAGAGTACCTTGACCAAATAAGGCCTGTTGAATGAAAGGGAAAGTTGAAAGATGGTAAGTCTTTAAAGTGAAATATTCAGACATTCCTCTAAGTTTGGAGACAGAATCATGGGCCAGTTTAAGTAAATAAATTTTATAACTTCATGTTAGACAACTGCTTTTCTTATAACTAGCCACTTCTCAGTTAAAAGCGCATCAAGCGCCAGTGGGAGAGCTATGGGTATGTATCGCATTTTTCCAAAACAACTAGACAATAAGGCCAATCACAGTCTTAACGTCAAAGATCCTCTGCACTCTACAGCAGCCTAGACCTTAATTCTCCGGCACAGTTGCAGGGTAGTGGCATTTTGCTGTGGTCTATCCAGCTTGTTGAGTCAGCTTAGGGATCACAGAATCCACCAGTCCAGAAAGGTTTACCTATCGTGCAAAATGCACAGCACTGTGTTAGATACCAAAATAGAGTCTGGAGAAGGAAGAAGGTGGCAGCTGTAATTTTGATTTTCAGCTTTACCTGCCACAAGATCTGCCTCTGACACGATCTGGTGGGACACCTTGAGTACAGAATATTGTTCCTGCCAGACTGAAAATTCATGGCAGACAGCAGTGCGGCAGTCCGTGTACCACTGCTTCCAAGTTCTTCTAACTCATGGAAATTCTTTCCACTTACGTTAGCGTAATTACCCTACCATTGTTTAATCCCTTAAAGTCTGTTCTAAAAAAGTCACTATATCCTGGACTGATTTCAAAATTACTGGACCTGAAGCAAAAGAGGTCACTTAGTGGAATGAGCAGTATCATTGTAACTTACGGGATGAAATTCGTATCCTAACAACTTGCTCTGGACAATTCCAAATTCAGACGCGTGTAGAAAACTTTATATAATCACAGCACTCTTGTGGATTTAATAACAAGTATAGGTCCGTCCTAGAATTATCACCCGACAGCACTAGTGAGAGCTAGCATATTATAGTTCAGCCTTTTCTATAGAAGTGGATTAGTAGTGATGGAGGATTCGGAAAGAAGTGTATACAGGTTTAGGGAGGGTGCTGTGTAAAAGCATGGAGTAACTTGGCTTTACCTGTGGCCATTAGTACTGCAGACTGTGCTGTGCTGAGCTTTTCTGCTGGTCTGGTCATGTCAGCCATTCCAGCACATACCAAACCCTGAAAAGAAAAATTCAATGAGCACCAGTGCCGTAGCAGGACCTCCTGTAACACAGCAAACACTTTACAAGGGGAAGTTGCTTCATAGCTCGGTGCTTATTCTATATGCGTTATGCAGGAGATGGGGTGCTTTATACGAGCACAGTAATTAGACTCTTGGAGACATTCTCCACTTCTAGACCCCTGTAGTAGGAATATGAACGCAGTTATGTGAGGTGCAACTGGGTTGCGATAAAATCCCAGGCAGTGGCCGTGTTGTAGATATTTAAGAAGGTGGTTAATTTAAGCACAGCTGCTTAAGAAAGCAGCTGGGGAAAAAAAAATAATTGGTTTTCATGCAACAAGTAGAAGCTTATCTGATAAAGGCCCTTCTTCCTAAAGCTCAGGCTAAGATATTGGTAAAGACGTAGGTGTGACACCATGTAGTCTTCACTCAGCTTCATCAGAGGAGGCAGAAGTGCTTCTTTTTAAATATTATTTCAGTAAAAGTAGAAAACTTCCAGGTGAAGCGAGTAGATTAGCTTGGCTAATCTACTTGACATTACTAGCAAACACGCTGCTCGATTTGTTCTGTTGTGTTATTGCCCTCTACTGGAAATACAATTCCATGTTCATGTTAAAGGCGTTAACAAAAAAACCCCAAAAACCAAAATCCCACAAATAAGAGAGCCCCAACACTTCTAATTCACTGACTGCCACTAAGGACTCCTTTGGGTCCAATGAAGAAACCAGTTTTCAAGGGTAGAGGCTTCCCGGTGCTGCCTCACGTATGGGATTGATGTTGCCGTGGTGGTGCCATGGAGGAGGTACAGACTTTCAGCACGCTCGGGTAACTGCCATAAATGTGCCTTTGCCACGCAGGCGGAACATCATTTTTAACTTCTCTGTGAAAAACTTCACTGTGAGCTTAGACAAGTCTTCCTGCATGTTCATAAAAGCCAAACCATCTGCGTATAAGCTCTTTTGACACAGCAGCAGCCGACACCAACCTGCTGGGCAGAGTTGCCTGTACGCTCAGGCTGAAGAGCACGTTGTCTGGGAAAGCCTCTGAGAAGGGGGAAGGTTCACCACCGTTACTGCAGCTCCAGTTGAGATTGACAAAGAAACCAAGCTACAGCTTAGAGCATAACCCATTGCCTGCGGCCTATAAAAAGTTGGGGTTCGCCAATGCAAACTTAGGAACCAGGTGGCAATAGGAAGAGCAGGTTATATCCTTGCCTGTTATCAAACAACTTTATGATTTTAGAGGTCATTTATTTTATCTCTACCAGTACAACAACTAGGAGGAGTACAGTGAATTAGGAGGAAGCAGATACTTCACCTGTGCACAAACCGTAGCCAAGGGCTGTAACCGCCAGGACTGCACTGGAAGCAGAGAGCTCCCGCGAGCTGAAATGGCAGTGGCTTTTTTCCTTTTGTTTTCTCAAGACTACTGTGTACTCTGACCCATTTTAACCTGCCTTCAAACTATAAGGCTTAGGGAATTGAATTCCTTAAGATACTCTTCAAATTCCTTAATCTCGGAAGAAATCCATGCTTTAAGAGTTTTGAATTACACCAGCTCATCCCTACCTTGAGCAACAGCTAGTGTTTCCCAAGAGAAAGCTCTCGTGAAACTTTCGGTGAAGAGTACAATTTTTTCCACAAAGCGTTTTGTCCCTGCTGTATCCTCTGCACGTTGTGCTATATGTCATTAAGGCTAGTTTTGTTCCTCCCTGCCCATTAAAAATTAGAGCCTCGGTATTAAATCTTTCTGTAGGCTCAAATACCTGCTGGGAAACTATTGCTTGCTCGATGGGTTGCTGGAGATTGCTCAGACACCAGCTGGCATCTTATACTTACCCATTTCATAATAGGTGCCCAGAAAAACACTGTTTTGGGACCTGAGGGAAAAAAAGAGAAGAAGTTAAAGTATTCAGTGAGATGTGGTTGTTTTAATACCCACAGTCAGTTTTGGGTTTGGTTTGTTGTTTGGTTTTTTGTTTTGTTTTTTTAAATAACGGATTGTGTATATGAGCAGTTTCTACCGCTGTACAAGCTCTATCACTCAGTGCATCAACCTTCAGTTGTGTGATCAGTCCACCCATTTCTGCAACGGAGCAGTAGGATTTTGTCTTTCTGGTTTTAAGCAAATGAGGACACTAGAGCAGGCAAAATGCATTTCTAATGAAAGGAGTGAGGATAAGGCCTAGGAATAGTGGAGACAGTTTCTATATAATGATTAAAAGCTACCCTACAGCTAGACTAACAGAATTAATATTTGAAGTCTTTGTGAACTGAATCTGGTAAACTAAAAGCCTCAAATATTTTATTACTGGTACTGTAACAAGTCAATCCCTCCTTCCCTTCCCAAATCACAGCCTACCTCTTCATGCTACAGAAGACAGGCTGCACAGCAGCATTAGGTGGTTAAAGTGAGAGTACAAATTGGAAACGTAAGTAGCAGTGAATGTCACAAGGAGAGCGTCCTCATTCACCCCTAATCTGCACCTCTGAATAACCCCGTCTTCCTAGCAGAAACAATGCCTCCCACCCAATCAACCCTACACCTCGATAATCTACCAATAGTCAGTGAAGGATTATGAGGGACAAGGGCAAAAATCTACAGAAGGAAGGGAGAAAAGTCAATGGAATGGGATATGGGGGAAAAACATCTCTTTTACAAATATATATATCTCAGAGCGGTGCTAAAATGGCAACTGGTTGGTTAAAACAAAGTACTGTAATGCCACACCTACAACGTGCAGACTGCCAGCCATGCCAGAAATTACATTAAACTAGGACTACCGCTCGAAGTCTTAAAAGAGAGACCACGATGCAAAGTACCAACCCACCGCGCTGGGGGCCGGTCAGGCCACTGGTTCCGCTTTCATCAAAACACGTTAAGTTTTAGGTCTCGCTAGGCCGCTGCTCAGCCTTCTGCTAACGTGCAAGATGAAGCCAAGTTTTCACTGTAATATGTTACGTATTATGAATAAAGCTTTTAAATACAAATGATAAACACTAGGACTTTGGTTGCTTGCTTTGTACATGAGCTAATCTTTCACTAACGATTCAGCCTTTAAAAGGCCTTGCATTAACTATTTATACCCCCCGTTTTAAGCACCCTCAAGTTTAAAAGTATGACTTGGGAAAAATTAACCATCAGGTTTCTACAGCAAGCACCTCTGAAGCAACCCATAATTTGGGGGCTAAGACTAACTGTTACAAATATCAGTTGCTCCATCACCTTAAAGCCAACTACGAAAGGGCAGGGCAATTGCAGCACAGAAAGCAACAAAAACTGGCTCAGCAGCTTTGCATAAAGCCCTCTTAGACCCACGCTGCTCGTGGTAGCAATCGAGTTTCAAACTGCTCGTCGTAACTACTAGCACATTACTTTTCACTTGGATACCTGAATGTTCCTACCTACCCAGGATTTCAATTTTTTTCAGGATGCCTGGGGTTGTGCAGCTGCTAAAACTCTCTAATTTTGTTGACTAAATACAGCTCAATATTAATAATTTAAAGATAAAAAGTTCAGTTGCCATTCTTTTAGGCAGCTACTTGGTATGTCCGTACCAGGCTGCAAATACAGCTCTTTATAAATCAGAGGTGCCACGGAAGTAGCTTTACTTACTCTCATATATTTTCTTCAGATTTGGAGTACTAGAGAATGTGGAGTGAGTATAAATTACTAAATTGACATTCCCTAAGCAGCTAGTAAAGTTTTCAAGAAGACTGACATTAATTTTTTATTAATAATAGATCACTCGATAATTTAAAACTGCTGACTACAAAAGTAAGAAACAATTGAAGACAAGCAAGGTACCGAGCCAAGCTTGTTACGAGGGAAGACCGTCAAACGCCTCAAGCAGAACACCTCTCCTGGAGGCACTCCAGTAAGCACCCAGCCAGGGCGAGCTCTTCCCAGATCCCGACGTTCAGAATTTCTCCAGGATAAATCTGACAGCAGCCCATCAGAGCAGGGGCAGACCGGAGCCTAATCTGGCTATCGTGCGTGTGACCAGTTTATAGAATTTATGACTTCTATGAAAGGTAAAAAGTCTTTGTCCTGGAGAGTTTAGTTTAATCGGGCAAAGTGAATCAAAGAGGCCAAAGGAGAGGGAGCGCAAGCTCAGCCCACGCTTCCCCGTGGCTGCCGAGGGCGACGTTCCCGGCTCTGTGGCAGCCCAAGGAGTTGGTGCTCTGTACCCCAGGCCTTCGCTGTCCTCCAGCAGCCTCGCTCTCCGCAACGCCAGCCAAAGAAACTGCTTTTCCGACCAGGCATCAATTATTTTACTGGAAGCTTGCTTTGTTCCAGAAAAGAAGCAAGCATTGTTCTTCACTTCTCACAAGTGATTTTTAATTTCATGCTAATGACACTTATATTCCTAAATTAAATAGAAACTTAGATATCACCAGAGATAAAATGTGAGCCTTTCATTTTTAACCTACTTGTTTTGCAGTCAGAGTGACAGCTATTGCATAGCTTTCTCACAGACTCACAAGACATGCAAAGCTGAAACAGAAGTGGTGGAGGTTCGGTTTTGATACCTGCTTGCTCTGTGTCTTTTCTCACACCATCACTATGGATTATGGCAGATACATATGCCTATATACATACGTATACACACAGATTCCCTAAAAAATGGATTTATTTTTTTTTTTAAATTAATTTCAACATCATGGTGGTGATCAAAAGTGGCCCACAGGCAGTTCCGTGAAGTGAAAAGTACTGCAAGAGACCCTCCAAAGCCTTTTGCAATTAGTACTACAGTTCTGACAAAGAACAAACAGGGACGTTCCCAGCGCTCGTCATGCTTCGCATTCAGTGAAACCAGTTGGAAGCTGCCACATTTCACACAGGATAAATGTGGCACTCGGGGGCTTGGCACCTTTACAGTGGAAGTGCTGGACATAGTGACTTTTTATATACAAAAATTACATCAATGATAAATATATATATATATCAGTCTAGCGAATTCAGTACAAATCAGACATTTTGGTAACTGCAGTTTTTACTCTGTGATTTCTTTAAAGCAATAATTTTCATTTCAAGAAAGGATCCTTGCAGGAGGATGAAGCAAGTGACTGAAAGCTAAAGTCCGTTTTCACAGCGCGTATTCCAGGTGGGTGAAGAGTCAAGGATGCACAGCACACCGAAACGAAACAGTGGGAACAGCGGCCTATGGAATGGTAGGATTTTATCGAGAGCTCTTTTTAACTACCCTATGCAATTTGTTTACATGACAAACATCACCCGGCACTGAAGCAGATGATTTTACAAGAGGTTTCTCCCCAATAACACAAACCCCTCATGTTTGCTCAAGTAAAGGTAAGCTTTAGGTCAGGTGAGGGTAGCTCATTTCAGGGAAACTCCAGCCCTTCTTTTCCCTCAGGAACCCTTCAGCTACAGGAGTGGATTCCTGAAGGGCACGAGTCCTCTTTGGTAGGATGGCCGGATTCAGCAGAAAGAAAATAACACAAAGAGCGGCTTGACTTAAGCCAGAGCACGCTTCAAGACCAGCAATCCCGGCCGCGCTCTGCCCTGGTTTTTCAGGACATCCACGCGAACGGAGTGACTGATCCCGTCCCCTGGGTATCCCGTTACCCCGCCGGTAGCCCAGCCCTTCCCTGGATTCAAACCCCGGACTAATGTGACAGTGACACTCAAGTACACTCGTGCATCGCAGGAGGTGGGAGGGAGGAACAATCAGAACCGTGGCTGCCTTTTTTTTTTTCCTCCCCCTTCCCAAATAAAAGAAGTTTTCCTTTAAGGAACGCCCC